GTCATATTTTAAACCATTTTCATGTGGTTTAGATTCAGGTTTATTCAAATAATTATCCCCTGGGATAGGTCGGGGCCACAATGGTCGATCAAAGTCTTACATATGAATATATAGGAAAAAATCTTCTTCTCAAGAAGAACAGCAAGGTCATGATTAGTCATATTTATATGAAAGAATCTAGAGGGGTTGTATATTCAAGTTTGTTTAAATCATGCCCCTGAGATTTGGGTGGGGCCACAGTGGACGAGCAAAGTTTACTTAGGAATGTATAGGGGAAATTTAAAAGAACAGCAAGCCATGAAAAGTCATATTTATTTTGAAACATCCTCATATGGTGTAGATTCAAGTTTCTTCAAATTATGACCCCTGGGGGAAGGGTAGCGCCACAATGACCAGTCAACGTTTTACGTAGGAAAAATCTTCTTTTCAAGAAGAGAAAAGCTATGATTGGTCTTTTTTTTTATATGGAAGCATTCCCATGTAGTCTTGATTCAAGTTTATTCAATTCATGACCCGTGGGTTTAGAAAAAGACTACAACGAAAGTTCAAACTTGTAGGGAAAAAGTCATTTTGAGAAAAAAATATGTATGCATACTTAATAGTGTGCATTCAATTTTGTTCAAATTTTTCCCCCTCTCCCTTTTAGGGGATGGTCGCGACAACTTATGCATTTCAGCTTTTTTAAAAACTATGCTGTTTTTTTTTCTTACCAGTGCTCTGGTGAGCGATATGGCCCCTGTGCCTATTGTTCAGGGTTGTTATTTGACACTCAGTATTATTTATATTTTACCTTTAAGTTACTCATTCTTGCCGTTTATTTTCAATAATATAATAATGATTAATTATCAAACATCATTCTTAGTTAAAAAAAAATATTTTTTCTCCTTTTCAGACTATTCTAAGACTATTCTAAATGAATGTTTTATTATTAAGTGAAGCTGATTTTCTTTTCAGAGATTTAACCACAAAACCCATCAATTACTACAGAAGTCTTGTGCACTTAAAATTTATATTAAGATATCTTTTTAGCTGCTTTTAGGTAATCTGAATTAAAACAAATACGTACATAGAAACATATTAACTTAGCAAAGCATGTGCTTTTCTTCTTTTTTGACTTCTACTTGAAGCAAAAATCCGATATCATGTGGGAAAAATCCGTTTTACTTTTTTCGGAAATAATAAATCAAAATAGTTATGTAAAATAATCATGTGAAATTGATCGTGAGACGAAATCCCAAGTCGTAATCTAGATTCAGATATAAATATAGACAAACATTTCATTTATAGTTTTGTAGCTAAAATATTCGTTAAAGAATCGAAATAAAAGAAATGAAATGTTAATACAGACATCTGTAGTATTTTCTAAGAATGAAAGAGGTCCACTATTTCACGGAGGAGTAGTACAGTATGTTATTACGAGCAAGATACTTTTTGTAATAAGTGTGCCATTGTTTAAAAATCATTCTGGAATAAGCGTATGAGTTATGAATTCACTAACAAATATGGTACTAAAGCTTGTGGTACTTTGAATTTCTATGCATTTTGATTAATTCCTTTATTTTTTTATTTATCATGAAAATGATTACACAAGTATTTTTTATAGTAATTGTTACGGTGTAAAATACGACATTTTTGGACTTTATGTAAATTGGTATACTGTATAAATTATTATAAAAAAATTTCATATATTTCGACAAATGTGATACAATACATAAATGCCGCACAGCCGTAATCCCATCCTAGGCACAGTCAGATATGAACACTTCATCCCTATCTGGACTTGTGTTTATATTTATTGACACTATATCTTTTATCTTTAATTCTATCATATATATGCCGCTAAAATTACACAATTTGCTCAGTAATTGGTTGATATTTGATTTTTTAAATACTTTTTCTTAATCCTTTTATTTTACTCTGTATTTATTCAGTATGTAAGTTTGTTGTGAAAAGTTATATTCAGTTTGAATACACCTCAAACTCATGTAAAAGTATATTCCTTGTTGATTCCTTATAATTTTCAATATGGAGAAAACGAACAACAATCAAGATAACAAGTCCAAAAAACAATACAAAATATGAGCAGAGCAAACACGGATCTCCAAAACATCAGATGGGATCAGGTGCCACGGAGGAGTGAACATCCCCTGCCTATCGATCACACCTACCAAAAAGTTTGAAAAAATGGAAACTTGTGTTGGTGTGTTTGAGGTTTTCAACGATATGGGTTCAACAATTTCATGGTTGGTTCAGAATTAGAAGTACATCTAGACGAATAAATTCATCCCGTAATACAATAATATGAATTGATGTAATATTAATAATTCATTTTACGTAAATTATGGGCATTTTATCCATAATTTGACAAACCTGAGATAAATTAACTCTAGCATTATTTTATCGTTGAAAGTATTTAATAGTTGGGACAAATAAGTTCCTTATTTACGTGATAACTTTTCTCTTGTTTAATTCTTTCAATACTTTACGACATCTATACACGTTTTTTTTTCATATCTAGCATTTAACATGAATTCTTTCTTTAATATTTATGTTTTTGTTTTAAAAATCAAAATGATCTATTAATCTTAATTGGTTCAAAACTTGGCTAATTTGGTCACAGAGTAAGTGAACTTCTAGTGACATCTTACAGTGTAAGCATTTCAGTGAACGAGGATTGTTATTTTATTACTTGTGACATACTGTATATTTTATTTAATATCTTAATAGTAATAAAATTGACAGTTTTATTACATAAAAAACATTTTAATCTACAGTGTGCACTAGCCTAGGGAAATAGTTTAAAAATGTTTATGCACTGGCTATCCTGGCCAGCAGTTTCACCCGAAATGTAATGCACTTTTGCAGTTTTTTTTCCGTTGCAAAATCTATTACAACTAGCTTTATATCTTATAAAGCAGCAATGTATGAAGCACTGTGTATATCTTTATTTCTTGTCGTCATGAAACATCATGTACATTTCTATATATATATATATCTTAAAATTTAAAACTACGTTAAGCCTGTCTCGTTATAAGACTTGATCGATCTCGGGGCATTTCATCAAAACTAAATTAGAAAATGTAAATATAATATGCAGTTGTCTAGTATGAAACAGATACACTGTATGATAGCCTCTGTGTTGTCTTTTCAAGATAGAGCAGTTCGACATGTAAAATCACATATTTTCATGGGGCCAAATTTTCGCGGTTTGAGGAAAAACTTTTGAGTTTATAATTAGTGGGGATTTGATTTCATGAATGAAGGATTGCTACGCAGTAATGTATATGATATTTTACTTTTCGTGGTGAACATGAATTTGTCGGTCTCTTTTTACCTCGAAAACAACAAAAATTAAACCCCTAAGAAATTTAATGATTTCACAGAACATTTTCGATCTATGTGAATGTCCAATTGATGTTAACAGTAAGCGTTTATTATCTTGTAAAATTTTTCTGAATCAATTCTGCTCTAAGGGGAGATAAAAACTGGTCAGCTAACAAAGAAGCAAAATAAATGACCATCATAATTCCGAGAGTTTGTTCAAAAATCTTTCCCAGAGGACTAATTAAGCACCCTTTAACCTGATAATTTGCTGGCAAAACTAAGTTTAATGAACAATAGAGTTGACTCAAAATTATCTTCTGACACATGTGATCACTTCAAATGTCTGTACAGGGCAACATCCAAAATTAAGGCAAAAACTAGCCTGTATTTTGCAGATGTGGAATTTATGTTTGAATCTTCTTTAGCTAAATCAAATAATCTATTCAAAATTTACAAGAGTACAGAGTAGAGGTTAATAAAAATGCGATAAATGTAAAATTTTTCATTGACGTCGATCAAAAAGAGAATCAAAAGAAACATCACATCTATATGATCTATTGTATGATTATATCTATGACTACAACAACGTCTTAATTAAAACGTATTGTTAAAAAGTTCAATTTCATTTATATTCGCACACCTTGAGTTGGAGAGGTAAGAAACATCATTTATGTTGTCGTAGCAATTAAACGTAAAGATTATGCCTAGTTTCCTAATCCAGTACTCCCTTTATCTATGAATTGGAGAAGTTAACAAGGACTATAAGTTGGTTGATATTTTTCAAAACTTCTAACCTTCATTAAAAGAAATGAGGGATTCAGCGAATTGATCTGCAAATAAAGGAACCTTAGCTCCCCACCTGAGACCTTATTATAAATCTGTTATCAATATTAAACCCGGGTTCTAACATTCTCCTGTTGAGAAGACCTTTTATTTTGTTTTTCCATATATATATGTATTGTACATTCAACTTCCATAGAAAAAAAATTAAGTCAAATTTGCACTTGTAAAGGAATTTTGTTCAGTAAGGTTGCTGTAAAACGAAGAATTTATTATCAGAGCATCAAAGGTCTTGCACTTTTTTGGTAGAATATTTGGAAATGAAACGCCTTTTTCGGGGACTGAAAAAGAATTGACAAAAATATTTTGTATTGAAACCTTGCAATCTCTAATTTTAGTAACGAGACTTGTATTTAAAACAAAACTTTTTTTATCTGTTGACGGTATATAAAATAAATTGTGGATGTGCTGAAGGAAAACTGAGGTGCAGAGCCTGTGCCCCTGATAGACTCTGCATATTCACACATTCATTAACTGTACCTTATGGCCGCCAGTATAAAATCGGTTACCCCTTCTGTGTTAAGAATACAGTGTATATACGAAACGTATACCAAACTTTCCAGGTGGAAAGAACAACTACCGAAAGAGACACTGTTCTGTAGTTTTAAAAAAAAAATGAAGATACAGAACCTTGACTAATCTCCCAAAGAAACCATACACATTTTTTGAAATCTGTGAGGGGGACATAACACGCGGATCCCTGGGAACTCCAGCGTTGGAATCAGGTGCAAAGGAGGAGTAAGTAAAAATTAGATATATAAAGACATAGATTATTAAAACTTAGAGCTACATTAATATTTCTATCGACAACGTTGTCTGACGCATTCATATCATAATTTTATTGTTAATATATTGTTTATTTATATCAGGTTATAAAACATCATAGATCATTTGCTCAGAAAAAACATCACTTGAGATCCATATCAGTAGATTTTTCAAGAACGAAATAATCATCAGTTTTGTCTTCAGAAAGACAAGAAGTCTTTGGACTGTTATCTAACTCTTCAGAATTTGTGCTGTCCTCAGTTTTCAACTCTTTTTCTCGTTCTTCTGGGTTTAATTCTGTATATTTCAAGTGTTTGTCTGTCTGTGAACCATCTTTTCCAGTCTGAGGAATCAAGTAATCATACTCATCTTTATCAGGTTCTTGTGGAATATCTGGAAGTTTGGAGAGCTTCCGCCCAGGTGAAGGGATAGATTTCGTGAAAGAATTTGACTTTATTTGATTATCAAACTGAATTGCAGTCTACAAAAGAATTCAAAAATTATCATTTAAGTTTTAATGGGTAGACTTGTACACTCGATAGATTATAATTTATGTTTGAGAGACTTCACCATTTTGCTTTCCACTTCATGGTACAACCCCTCATTGTAGTCGTGGATTGTGTGTGGGATAGTGATTCGAGTCGTATTTTCCTGTTGACTGTAAGAGGAATTAGTATAGCCCTTGTTGCCCTCTGATTTATTTTTCGCATTTCTGTTGTAAAAAAAAATTAAAAGACAAATGCATTGGTGTTTGCGGCAGTAAAACGGTCATTAACGAGGTTGGACGTTTTTAGTAGTGAAGTCAAAACTCAGTGCCTTGTAGCGTTTTCATAATTATCAAAATTTAAAATAAGACATACATATCAACATCATGTCAGATGAATAAAATTGTATTAGAATGAGAATATCATCGATTGTAAAGCTCAGTTGGGGCCGAAAAATCCGTAATAACGGTCGCAAAAACCAATTAAAAGATAGTAATTCCTTAATTTATAAACAATGAACACATTATCGTGAAATAATAGATTGTATGTCTCTTACCTTAATCGACCTATCTTTTTCAGAACAAAATATAAAATTCCGCAGCCTGTGGCAGCCGCAAGAAGATGTGTGATCACCAGAATGCCTTAAAATTGAGGAAATATTAATGTAAAAATGGAAATTTGATACAAGATTTATTGAAAATGCTTGCTACAAACACATTTTGTCACAAAATAAATAAATTAAATAATATCTAAAAAAAAAAAAAAACAGACAAAGAAAATTGAAGAAACTTTTTTCAATATTTTTTTTTTAATTTTAGACAATGTCTGTGTAAAATATATTTTAAAAACATACCTACTCCAGGATATTTAGGAGAGTCGTCAGATGTGTAGATGTTTTGTGCACAATTATTATTGCGATTAAACCTTTTCCTACATCTTTTTAATATTTTTTTTGTATATTCCTTCCAGCCTGAAGAAAACGATACTTTAATTTCATTAACATTATATTATTTTAGCTTTTAGATTCAAGGGTTCTCCGTCAGGTTAAATTTAATTACAGTACAAGAAACTGCTAAATAAAAGTTGAAAACTAAGTTTACCCTTTTCTAATCGCTCATAATTATCTAAGATCATTGAGAGATGTTCAAGATATTTAACTTCGATTTCGAATATGAACATGCCTACATTGCAGAAAACCTTTATCTTCGATTTCATTAGTATCAGTCTCCATTTTTTCGTCTGACGTATTTTCAAGCACCGATGCTGTAAATAAAACTTTTAAAGAAAACCATTTCTTCATTCACAATTTAAAAACACCTTCATTGGAGCTTTATACTGTACAAAACAATATTCCTACATAATTTTCAAACATGGGTGTTAGGATTCACATCCTCATGGGATTTAAAATGGGATATAGATGTTAACAAAATATAAAAACAGGAAATACAAAGTCTTAGCGAATACTAAGTAATAAACTTAAATTTCTTCTTATTTCAAAATTTCATACGTTTTGATACCTTTTTGCGACTGTATTTAAAGAACAAAGAAAGACATTACTTTGTTTCAGTCAAGTTTAATGATTGTTTATTTGAAAGTTTACATATTCCTATTTATTTTATTTTCACAAGTCTGTGAAAAATCAAGTAAACCAGTTTGTTAAATATACCATCAATCATAAAAGTACTTTCTGTGGAACAATAAGGGCAGTTGTTTTTTTTTGTCTTGAACAAATCTCCCTGTATTCTTTTTAACTTTTTACGAAGAAATCACACAAAATGTGCCGATCAATTTCTTTCAAGAAGCATGCTCTACGTGTGAACAAGTTCCATAAAAAGGTACATGTATATTATTGACAAGCAATTCAAGTTGGTAAAACAAGAAATCAGCAGTTTCGTTAAATTCACCATTCGTAAGTTCTATGGTCAATACAATGACTAATAAGTAATAATCTTGTCAGCAAATACAATCTACCACCAAGTCAAATCCAATTCAAACTAATTGCTAGACAATTATTTAAACACTCAATTCAAGATCACGACACAGAGCACACAGCGGGTGTGGCCAGTCAGCAGGGGATGCTCACTCTTCCATGGCACCTGATCCCTTTACTGATGTGTTTGAGGTCTGTGTTTGCTCTTCTCCCGATTGTAATGTTTAATTGATTTTTGAGCTTGAATGTTCTATGAACATCAAGCTTCGGGCCAAAAAATTTAGATGGTTTACTCAATTTCGGTTTTACTTAAAGAATTAATCATGGAAAATGGGTCTGAGATGAATTTGTTCTCATGTAAGTTCTAAATCCTTCAGATTATGATTTTTTATGTACCTGATTCCTTGCCATCGTCAGTTTCCTGAATAGAGTTGTCAGTAGATGGAGGTTGTTTCCTCCTTGTTGACGGATTATATACCCCTTCTGAAATTTTAACCATAAAAGGACATAAGAATATTTTCCTATTCTATTGATCATACGATGTAATAAATACTAATATCAATTACGGTACCGAGATGACTTATGTATATACCAGAAATTGATGCCGTCGTTTTATGTTCTTGTTCATTATCCGTTTCTGACGTACCATTTATCCCTATTTGTGCTACAACAAAATCAAAAAAATGCCATAAAAGTAATTTAAAATAAAGTTAATGCATCAAAATTTAGAATTTAGTGAAAAGGTATATTTAAAGTTACGATTGTTTCTCCATTTTCCTATTTTTCGTGACATCAAGAAGCACTTGATCGATTAAATGCTAAAATTTTAAACACGCCCGATATTATCTCCATTACTTCTTACAAAATCCAGAGTAATTAATGATGCGATGCTTTAAAGCTGTAAAAGCAAGTCACTTGTACTAATTTCTTGGGGAGTGGCTCTTACATAAATAAAACATACAATTAGATAAATAACAGTTATACAATCTTTTACGTGCATAAACTTACATCGCGATTACATGATTATTTATGCTTACATTGATTAATACAAACAATGAAAGTTTTTGTTATACAGTTTATGTGTGGGGGGTTTTCTGACAGAGTTGCTACATCTAATTCAATACGAACAATAAAAGAAAACATTTAATGTTAAATCTTTAATGAATATATTGATTGTGCTATAAGAAAAAAATGTTTTGGCAAATAATTTGTACCAATTTTAATCATTGTTATATTCTAACATTTCTAATAAACCCCTTTGGCACGCGGGCAATCGGTGTCTTGCTATAAAGTGAACTTGTATTGTTGAAAATGCATAATACCTAATGACCCTGATTCAATGCATGTCACTTTGATATCTCTCTTCTTGTCTAAGGCATCATTAAAACCTAAGAAGACCATGAATTTTTTCCCTCCTGCAATGAATGCAATATTCCAAGAATAGCAGGGCGCATCTTCTTTTTGGCAGTTTTCCTGGAGGTAACTTCTATATAGGTCCAATGTTTTGAAATCTAAATTTCGCAAATAGTTTAAGATAAGGCAAATTTCTTATTTATTCACAAAAGCGCATCCTAATGAACTATATAAAAATCATTTGAATTGTCTCATATTTAGCTATCATCAATTGCTTTAAATTACCTTTATTTTGAAAATGTACATTTAGATTTGGATCATACCAGAGACATAAATAATAAATGTTATGTATGTCTCTGATCATGTACTGCATCAAATTTTCTTAAACATTTTTGTATATTAAATAGATGTACACCTGTAAATGTGGAGGGCAATGAACTACAAGTGTTGTTCTCTATCTTTACCGCAAGTATTTCTAAGATGTTTTCTAATTTCCTCAAGCTGCAAGAAAATCATTCAGAGTATTCTGTTTTAAAGTTTGATTATACCTCGGTATATTTAAATATATATATTTAACTATTTCATGAATCTATTGTTTATAATAAATTCAATTTCAAGCAATGTTACTACATTTAGGATTTTATTTTTTTTTCAAATCAAAGTAAACATACTTACTATTTCTGACCTATATTCTTCTCCTCGGCGTCAGTGGAGACCTCTATTGATTCCAAATGTGTCACTAAATCTATAATTTTTAAGTTTTTTAAAAAACATAATGAAAAAATTCAAATTACATACCTTTTAAATTATATACTTTTCTATTCTTACATACTTAAAAGTAATCCAAACAAGAACTTGTGTTTAATACAGTTCATGGTATCCCTCTACATGGGAAAAAAAGGTGTCCACAATTAATATTTCTCCTGAGTGCGCATGTCACCTTCCTTGTTTTCAAGTAAATTTATAAAAGTATAAACGTGTTTGTTTCGATATTAACAGGAAGATAAAAGGAAATTGTACCTACTTACTCACATCGAGATACAGATTTCCTGTCATTTTTCACTCATTATAATGACAGGATTTTCACACTTCCATACTGCATTGTGAGTTTTCAGGGAAAACATCTGTACAGTCAAATTCTGATAAATTACATCATCAAAATCCATGTGTTTGTTCAAAAAAAATTCACGTGCGCTATAAAATCATAAGGAAGTATTGACTGAGTTTAGATTAAAAGATAAGTTACACGCAGTTAAAGATAAGTATCCCAAAAAATTAAAAAGGATTCGGGATCAGAATGCAACAAACAAAACATCTTAATCCGTCTCTTAAGGGAAATCAGCATGTATCGTATTAGGATTACTTTGATCTTTGATGACTATGAAAAACGTAATAGTTATCTTGACCCTTGTGTACAAAGGACAAAATATCGAAAAGAAACATGGGAACAACTTTTATTTTACCGTCTCCAGAAAAACACGCTAAAATGTAGTGTCGCCGAAGGCGGTTACAGTATACATGTATATGGGATCGCGTGATCTGTCGCAAAAAACATTAAAATACGAGATTTTTGGCTCTTTTAAACCTTAAAATCAAATCTTACGATTAAAAATTATTTTGAAACGTTATTTTCAATGAATATATATTTATTATTCTTTATCTGTATGTGCATGAAAACGAACAACATTAAGTGCTTAACTTTAAAAGTACTGTATAGGAATTAAACGTGTTCTTGGCAGTATTAATGTTTGAAACACTGTCAGTTTGTCGTAGAAGACCTTCTCTTGTATACGTACATGTACATGGAACATGCTGAAAATTTACTGAACTAAAAAAACCTAGTACTGAATAATTGAAAAAAGCATATATTTTAATGAATTAAGAAATATATATTCAAACAATGAGAAACATAGAGTCTTATATTTCACTTTTATTGTTAATAAATGGTCATAATGAAACATTCACTTCAAGGCACTCTGGTCATTTAATCGTGAAAGAAACACATCGATCAAACGTTCACTAGACGTTCATTATACGGTTTCTTTTGAATGAGACTGTATTGACAGAAGTTCAAAGTCACAAAAGTTGCTGGTACGTAAATTTTCCTCAGTTCTTCAATCCAGTACACTGTATGCCGAAAGTACAGGTCCATTTAAAGCCTTCCACTTGCTAGTGGTGACGTCTCAATATAAGTGAATTTTTGAAGTGGCGTAAAGTACACAAACAATCATTTATAAATTAATAAGTAAAAGACAAAAGTGAAAAAAAAATTATCAATTCATGAGACCCTAAGTGGAAAATGCAAGGTAAAATTGGTTTCTAAATGGTTTTCACAGATTCCCAAACGTTGGGGGAAGGGGGGCAATATATGACACTTTGAGTATAATAACATGAATAATTTAAATGTGTAAACATGCTTGAACATATTGAACTTCAGAGGACATGAAGTTTTCAAGGAAAATCTGAGAGATTTTGTGAATTTTGTAAAGCAGGGGATGTTCACTCCTCCATAGCACCTGATCCCATTTTTGGATGCTTTGACGGCACCGAATCACTATCGTAACTTTCATTTTATCGTACGAAGTATAACTTTCCCGGAAGTTTGAAGTGCATTGTGATGTCCATATTTCAATGAGAAAACATAAAAATATTATGAATTTATTTAAGAGTCAACAGAATTACTTCGAGTCCTTCTGAAGAACAAAATAATCATGTTCCATCGACTCCTCAATACATGCTTCCTCTGAGATTTTACTCAAAGCATTGAGAGTTCCATTCCCATTTTTGATATTTTTGTCAGAAAGCGTTTCAACATTTTCCTTCCTATTTATTCCATGTAAATGTGAATGGATGAACGGGTTTCCATCAGACTCATTAACTTCCTTCATGGGTTCAGAGGTTAAGCAATTGTATGTATCTTTCTTACTTTCTTGTGGTATATCTGGAAGCTTGGAGCGTTTAGGGTAATCTATTAATACCTGTCTAGTAGAAGAAGGGGAGCATGATCTGTTCTCTTTGGACACCGATTGCTATGAAAAAGAACAATCTAATTTCATATCACTGATATTTGACACTGCGATTAAAAACACATCTAAATTATTTTTATGAAGGAATAAATAAATATTCAGAACATAAAAAGATAAATGCGTAAAACAGTATTTAAAATAGAAAAAGTACCATTGTGTCGGACACTTCATGGTACACATCTTCGTCGCTATGATATGATATGGCATTGGTCGTAATTGCTGTGATACTATCTTGTCCACTATAAGAGGCATTCAGAATTCCAGTATTTCTTGTAGACTTATTCCTGTTATAAAAAAATAGAGGTACTGTGAACACTTAGCCCAATAAATGACACCCCACCTCCCAGATGATTATGATAAGTATGGCAAAATCAATGTTTTGCTCTTGAAGACCAGAAATAATTTCCAGATCAAAAGGTTAAATACAAGGCACTCAATGGCATTATGTAATAAAGACTCCATGAAAGAATCATTAAATTTTATTCAGTTATGTAGTATGAGTTGCAGATAAGAGATAGATACCTTTTTAATATTATTTTAAATTGACGACGGATTTTTCCGTTATATCCGGATCATGACAAGGAGCACACGCTGGATGTGACCGGTCAGAAGGGGAGGCTCACTCCTCCATGGCACCTGATCCCATCTCGGATGTTTTGAAGGTCCATGTTTGCTCTGTTCTTATTTTGTATTGTTTATAGACATAGACTTTTGATCTTGAATACATTTCTTTATCTCCATGTTTCATAGAAAGAATGACAGAATCAATGTTTTCCCATGGGAAACCCGAAACATGTGTCCGATTAAAAAGTGGTGAAAAATGGCACTATGTGTGACAAAGAATCTGTGAAAGCTTCATTAAATTCCATTGCGGATTCGGTTGCGGATAAGAAATGAGTACACTGAAGCGTAAAAGACGGGTGAACATCCCGATCAACATATTATTTTCCACTTTTTTAAGCAGGGGGTATAATGACAATAGTGTCTCCCAAACTAGCTGCAGGGTAGCTTCGTTCTGGTCATATTATACCCCCTACTTGAAAAGTGGGAGGGTATATAGTGATCTGGTTGTCCGTCTAGCTGTACGCCCGTCCGTCTCCTACGCTTACGGGTATCCTTCTCTTATCCGTCACCCCTGCTATACCACTGAATGAAATTTAATGAGACTTTTACAGAATGTTTGTTTCAAGGTGCCATGATTTTGCACCTCTTATTATACCCCCTCCCCCCGCTTGAAAAGCGGGAGGGTATATAGTAATCGGTATGTCCGTCCGTCCGTCTGTTACGCTTTGGGGTACCCGTCTCTTATCCGCAACTCCTCTCATACCACTGAAGGAAATTTAATGAAACTTCCACAGAATCTTTATTACATATTGCCATTGTGCACCTCCTATTTTACTTTTTGATCTGACATATATTTTGGATTTTCTAGAGCAAAACATGGACACTGCAATTATATTCATATGGGAGGCGGGGAGGGGGTATCATTTAGTGAGCTCATTGCTCACAGTACATCTAGTTTTATTTTTTGATTGGATACATACAAGGGTTGTCCCGTAAAATCGTGGACAAGTTGCCTAGTTTGAAAAATAATCATCACTGCGTTCTGAAATTTTCACCACTTTTTAGTAGATAAATTATGAATATACATAGCAAATTTCAAATAGATTTATGCATAGGTAAACAAATTGTGATATTTTATGTTATGTACTGTATCGCCCTAAGGCGCACGGATGATAACGTCAAAGTGTCTTAAACAGCGTCACGTTTCATCTTTGCTAAACTTAAAGTTGGATAAGCCCCACTTAAATTAGAAATTTTATTGATTTACATATGTGAGTATCTATAACCAGTTAAGAAACCAATGTGGTACACTCATGCGATCTTCAGAATATTTATTAGCAAGTTACAGACAGTATTCTCACCATCATTCAACTAAAACAGAATCTCACATCGACGGTCGACAGTGACAGCGTCCTATGCTATTACAAATGGCAGTCTGTCCATATGTTTTGTACTATCTGGGGACTCGACCACGAAGACTTCACTAAGAAAACTTTCATTTCATTTATATACTAAAGATCTGGTGATATTTTTCATATTTTCTTTCTTCTGTATTCATTTAAAGTCTCTTAAGGCGTCATTACAACATCCTAATCTATCTGAACTGCTCTCCAGTGCGCCGTAACGTCATAAAAAGTAGCCATTTTTCGTGTATTGTGTTTATTACTTTCCCATTTCAAATGCTCGGGAAACTGCCAAAAATTAAGCAAATGCCTTGAAATTTTTAAAAAGACGACAGAATTGATTAAGGAATGGAATTAGGATAATTTTCATCCTAATCTCATGTATTGAAAACTTTTATTATGAATTAATTCTTATGTCTTCTCTAATATAACCTTGCTATTTTTACCGTGCGCCGTAAGACCGTACCTTGTGCACATTCAAGCAGAATAAAATCTTTATTTTTGAATATATATTATCAAAAACATTATGATTCACTTAAATATGATGAATAAACATTTACTGAAAATTTAAGCTTAGTGCGCCCATTACTTTTCGAGAAAAACGCTTTGTCCACGATTTTATGGGACAACCCTCGTACTTCGGGTTTCCCATAGCGAAGCAATGAAATGGAACTCTTTATATAGTGTTGAAGGGTAAAATACCCATCTCTTATCCGCAACTCCTCCCATACCACTGAATAAAATGTCATGATAATTTTACAGATTCTTTGTTACATCATGAAATTGTGCACCTCCTATTTTACTTTTTGATGTAACAATTATTTTGCGTTTCCTAGAGCAAAACATGGATTTTGCCAATATAATCATATGGGAAACGTGAGGTATCATTTATACAGCTCCATGCTTAGTAATGTCCCTAATAAATGCACATTATACAAAAAAAGGGGAAATCTAGCTGAATCCCTTATTTGATAAAAATAGTACGAATACTTCTTCAATCATCGACTAATGCTTATTCAAATGTTCATACATCATATAAATGACTTTTAATCATCAATCTAGGTCTAAGGTACTAAAAAGTGTTCCTTTTTTCCTTTCCAGGGAAAAACTTTACTCACCTTCTTTGGCAAACTTTTCTGATGAACGGTACAAGGGAAACAATTCCAGCGCCCACTATTGCTGCAATCAAGTGGGTAAACAGAGGAAAAACTACATCTAAAATCAGTGAAAAGAAGAGATTTATCAATTTATTTAATAATTTTATATTATATTTTTGTTAATAACATTCGAGACTACTGTCATTTACTTAATGTTTTATCTTTATTTATTGTTTATGTAAATGTAAATTTCTTAAAGAATTAATGTGTAGCTTTTTAAAAGCATTTCATGGATATCTTAATTGTATTGTGCATCATATTTGTTTCTGTTGCATCACTAACGCTATTGAATACTTGAACATTATCAAATCTTGATTAAACTACTAGTATTCAAGACTTGGTTCTTTTCATTCAAATGGACTTCTCAAAGAAGCACTCTTTTTTATAGCTGACGCCTTATTTTGACAATTTAAACCGGTATTATAATCATACGGAGAAACACAACTGATAATATAGATCAGAAAACCTTTCTAGTGGTTAAAGGTATGGCGTTAGGGGCAATAACATGTGAAAGCCAGAAGTTGAGGGTAGGGGATTGTCTTTTTGTTCAAAGGTAATTTATTTGTCTTTTGAAATAATTATTTATTTTCGTTTAATTAAAGTTCGAGCTACATATTTGTAAAAGTAAAGGAGCTTCCGTACATTGTCCTAATCACCCCTACTAATGTGTTCGGAAGCTTTTATTTTTCGATATTCTGCAAATTATAAAACCCGATGAGTTCAGAGTAGCTCTAGCAGTGGCTCTGGCGAGAGTTAGCGAGACGTCAGCGAGATAGGGTAAATTATTCACGGAAATGTGGCTAGGAAGTGACTAGCACGTGGAGGCATGGTAAACAGAAAAATTATGTTGCGTTTCAGTTTTCACCACCCTAGAATCAGCTGATAATGTCTGTTGAAATGTACTTCAGTCAATCGATCTCTTTTACATTCATTCAAACTTAAATAAGTATTCTCTATAATACAATTTTCTGCAGTCATGAATTCGAATTTCTTTTTGGACAAATATTTTTTCATGGGAACCCGGACTATATTTTTTGGCGTCAGATTAGCAAATGAGGCACCAGCACGATTTTAACTGACCAATCAGCTGAATGAGTATTGCATTATGGGTTACTACGAATACTACAGGAATTTTACGCTTGAAAAAAAGGAAAATCTTACGGTAAATGAAAAGCATTTTTAAAAATATTATTTTTATGCTTATAATAACAAACAATTCATTTGTTAAATAGACGGCGGAAGTCTAGGTTTCTGAAGTCATACTGCAAAAGTAATTTGCGTCTGTATTAATTCCTTCGTTGTACTTTCGGTAAATACATTTGCCAGGTGAATTCCCTGGCCGAACACGTGATCACGTGATCACGAACGTAAACAAAGTTTTGTCCATTTAAATGCATAAGAGATGCTCTCGTTTTCCTTACCCTTGAAGTGCTATTCATTCAACGATTGGTCAGTTGCTCGTGGTGAGATCCCCTGTGCGAATTTATAACAATAGCCATATAAGGCAAACAAAGGTTTGTCAGTGTAGATGATAATGCACATTTTTTACCAGCGAATCGGTCACTAGTGAAATTTTCGCCGAAAAGTATAAGATATATTGTTATTTTAACACCCGGGCCTTTTTAGTCACCCTTTTTCTGTTGAAAATCATGAAAGTCTTTCAGAAAAGTCTGGAAACATTTATTACAGGACATCTTTTCAAAAGAAACAGGCTATAGCAATATCATGTTTACTGCCGATTTTATTTATAAAACCGGTTCTACCCTATAACCTTTGAATAGATCAACCTAAACCACGTGTCTTGAATTTAAATCACAATAACATTAGTAGGGGTGCTAATGTTAAAATAAGCCGTCAACCGTAAAAGTCAGCGCGTCTCACAAGAATCCAATTATCCGCCAGAAAGACAAGATATATTGAATTTTATTTGAAAATTGATATAATAAAATTAATACATAATGTCTTATTCTTCTAAGAATACGAATTAATCAATTATTTTTCTAGTTAGAATTGTAAATCTTCAAAGTATCAAAATAAATCAATATTTTAATTTCAGAAAAGTTTACCAGAACGGCTTGATGAAGCTAAATCCATCTTATTCTGAATTCCCGAGGCATTTAAATGATCATCCCTTCCATTGCCTGTTTCTAAATCTGTCGCTGCTTTTGCTGTAATTTCATTGTATCTCGGCTGTTTTCCTGGAATAAACGTATGTATAGCTGTAGCTCTCAAAAAGCATATTTCTTATAACCGTTGTAAATAACCTCCCTGGTCCTGAAATGGAAACCACCGAAAAAAGATTGCCTATGTACACTGCCATTTTGGACGACAAGATAATTCGGGCCCACGCACTTCTTAAAGATATAAAATATGACAAGACAGTTCATTGTGTCAAAGGAATAGTTTAAAATCAAACTTTGTACAGAGGGAAGGTTAGAATTGCGAGTAAATAATCATAAAATGAGCGCAATTTTTTGTAAGAAGTAAATATACACTTTTTTTCTATGGGCAGCACTGTAGCTCTCTGGTCATTTATCCCGGGTTTTTTTTAGATCAGCGGACTACATAACTGCAACTATAAAATGTAAAAAAGGAAATATATGGACATAATGAACAGTTTTCAAGCTCAAAAGTCCATAAAACAATATAAAATGGGAGCGGAGCAAACACAGACCCCCAAAACATCAGAGTTTGGATCAGATGTCATGAAGGAGGGAGCGTCCCCTGCCGATCGGAGACTCCTACCGTGTGTTCCTTGTCATGATCGGGAAATACCGGGAAAATTCGTCGTCATGTTTGTACTTTGACAAAAATGAGTGTCATTATCAATGGAAATTCCAATTGTATTTACATAAATTTTATTTCTTTTTGAAGGTCTATCACTTATTAACAATATTAAGTCTGTTTCCAGAATGGACCGTTGTTTTGTCAAAAATTACCAATGCAGGATGAAATCTAAGTTGATTTATTCCATTATAAATACAACATGTAGTAATTTGTGTATGTATATACTAAAATCCTGCTGAAAAACAACACTTTAATCACATGTGTTAACTTCAACTTTCTCTCGTAAATTTCTTTTATTAAGTAGCAATAAACCATTATCGCATTCATATGGAATTCAAGCATGTTCTACAGTTGATTCAATATACAAGGGCACGCTCTGTGTACGAACAATATCTCAAACGCGGCAAGCTAATTGCAAACAATCTTCACCTTTGTATATGGAAAAGTCTAGCGACGCAGCTTTATCGTATAATGAACATGTTCATAGTTTTCATGGAATCAGCGAATGTGAAACCGTCTGCGGTATTTAAATGCTTGTCTTTCGAGTTCACCCCAGTTATGACTAAAGTATATCATGCTTCCTTTAATTTTCAGGCCTAATTTTTATTTGCAAAATGAAGTTTATCTCCAATAAACTAACATAATGTAGCCCGTGTAAAAGATGGTCTGTCCTCAAAAATAAAATATCACGTTTAAACTATATTAAGTCGCATGCTCTCAAACTGAATCGTTCATTTTGTTCGTCAGAAAACACTTTTCTTTAATTTATGTTGCTTGACGTTCTAAGTAAATAACATATCTTGTACTTGTTGTAATTTGAGTAATATTCAACAATGCATATAGTCGTGGCATTTCCTAATGGGGACGTTGTTTAAAAGGAAGTCTTTATATTTGTCACATTATATATTATTATTTGTCACATGATTAGTATTTCACGTGGCGTAGTGGTTAGAGCGTATGCTCTAGAGTCGCAAAGTAAGGAGTCAATCCTTACCTCGCGGGTTCGAATCCCACTGTGGGACGTGGAGACCGGTCCTTCGGATGAGACCGTATAAACCAAGGTCCCGTGTCGCAGTAGGTGCTGGCACGAAAAGGATCCCTCCCTGCTCAATGGCCCTGAGTGCTGAGTATACGACAAAATTTGCAGCTCTCCACCGGCAAGTGGTGGCGTCTCCATATGAGTGAAAAATTCTCGAGACGGTCGTAAAACAATACACAATCAATCAATTGTCACATTATTGATATGTTATTTGCAAATAAGTTGATGATACAAGGATTTCAACAACCTCGTTTAAATTCAGCTTTTGTAAACTCTGTGATAATACCGTATAACGGGTATTTTTTACGTGCTGCTAATTTTTTACTAATTTTTACGGGTTTTGTAAATCCGTAAAATTAAAACGCGTAAAATTTCAAACGGCTCGTGTGAATTTTCACCATCGTATGTGTAAAATCAATGCTAATTGCCATTAAGCTCACTCCCTGGAGGCTATATAATTAGTGCACTGTAGGTATTTTTAAGCAATTTTAAGTCAATCATCAGTTGGGATCATACAGGTAAATCTCAATTAACTTGAATACTATACAAACATCGTCAATGAATTCATCAGTTAGACCTACCTGGTTACTCTTTTTATGTATTTTTACGAGACGCATAACTTCTGATAATGACTTAATAATTACAGGTCTTCTAATTATACATGTGTTTTCAATCTTTGACACTTTCTTCTGTTTCATTTGCTTTGAATAAAATTTTCTTAATAAACTTTCACTTCATATATGCTAGTTTGAGTTGTCTCTCTTTGTTTTCGGTAAATACCAGATGAGCACGTGGTGTGCCTAGCTATGTGTTTTATAAAACATGAATAAATGAAGGGTACATTTTCATGTATATAAAGGTAAATGACAAAAAAAAATTGATACATAATGTAATTTATGGCATTGTTTATGCTGTTATAATTTAATATCTCTCTCTCTTCCTCTCTCTCTCTCTCTCTCCCTGTCTTACATCGGGTTTTCAAACATATTAGTTGTACATAAACACATTCAAAGTGCTAATGATCAGTGATCTGGAATTTTACATCAGATGATTTTAATTTTTACGGACATGTTCAATTCGTAAAAAAATAACGCGTAAAAATTTAAATCACCCTTTTTGGACCAAAATTCGTAAAAATTTACAGCAGTAAAAATTACCCGTTATACGGTATAACCTTACATTTAGTCATCTTCCGGCACACTTTTTTATACAATATGGTGATAAAGAAAGGTATGTCAACTTAAAGTTCAATAAAACAACACAGATCGGGAGCAGAGCAAACAAGGTACTCCAAAAACATCAGAGATGGGATCAGGTGCTATGGAGGAGTGAGCACCTCCTGCTGACCGGTCACATTTGTCATATCTCTTTCATTATCTAGCGTATAGTTTCCAAAATACCTTGAGAAGCTTTACCTATCTTCTTTTTGTCCAGTCCGCTTGAATGATCGTTTCTTCTGTTGTCATTATGTACATCACTTATTTCTTTTGCCAATGAATTACTGCAGTTTTCCTGTTTGTCATTGAAACCTTTGCTTTGATTAGAATTCTCTATTTAAAAAAAATCTCTTTTAAATAAAATTTTAAATGCTTTACTTAAACATGCATTACTTGTCCGGTTTTACAAGTAGACTATTGAACTTGCTAGAAAGATGGATCTTACGATGAAGATATTTGTTATCTTATTACTTCTACTTAAAACAGAATCTAAAATTCTGCCAAGACCTGGCATCAGACGTAATAGTTGTTATCAAATTTGTACAGTTTTTAACCATGCTTTTCTTCTTTAGATGAAGGTATTTCAAAGATCTGTTTAAGTATTTCTCACTTATAACATTTCATATAATGAATGGATTCCTATGCCTTTTTACACTTACAATGTTATTATTATATATTTATATTAAGTTGAAATTCTAAACAACAGAAACGCCAGCAGTAAAATTTAGGTAAGATATTGCGTTTTATGTTATCCTAAATGCTTTTATTAGTTTGTAGAATGTAGTTACAATATAACTACATTAACAGGCAGAAAAAATATGTAAGGGTTTAATTTTTATTGATAATATGTAAGATTATGAGTGTTACCTGCGTCTGAACATGTAATGTTCATATAATTGTTGTCCTCGGTGTTCGCGGGGATTCTTGAGAAAATTAAATATTTTTCCTGTCCAAGTATGACCATAATATTCCAAGAATAACAAATTTTCTTGCCAAATCTGTGACAATTCCCTTGGAAGCGGCAATCTTTTTTGTGGAATAATTTCTCTGCAAAATTATTTGATTATAAATAAATATTTCATCTTTAAAACAGCAATAATTTCCCTTAAAACAACTCATATTTTGAATGAGGTTAATTTTAAAAATTCGTATGACATTTTCTCTTATTAAAATTAGATAGATCTTCCACCTTTCTCAATAGAAAAAGATACAGATGGACCAGGCCAGGCTTGGGTTGTGGAAAAACATGGCAAACATTCCTTGTCCCGTATCTCTGCAAGAGTTTTCAGTGCGACATCAAAACTATGTTTCCTGCAGCAAACATTGAAACAAAAGCTGAAATGTCGGAAAGTACTAACAAACCTTGATTTGGGATGGCCCTAATAAAATAATACAATAGTAAAGTATAGTTAACTGGGGTACCAATGTAAAAACTTTGAAACTTTGATTTGCTATAGTGGAAACTTTGGAACTTTGATTCACTATAGTGAATAATAGTAAACTATAGTTAAGTATAGTTTACCATAGAATTTTTTTTGTTAGAGTGTCATTGTCTTAAAGCTGAATACCAAAGACACTCACAACAGTTGTTGCACACGTCAGTGCAGTATACAAACAAACAAACACAAATATATGGTTAACTGCAATAAAATGTAAACAAAGGAGATGCAAGATAACCAGCCCGAACACGGGTTGCCATTCTTCGCCGATACCCGTGACAATAAAGCAGTCAGGTGTGACGAATCTGAAGGGTATACCCTAGGTTTTGATGTATCGTAGATATTATTATCGAAAATGGCGTATGCCTATAAAACGAGTCGTGTTCAGCTTTAAAATATTTAAATCAATAAACATGGACATAGGCATCACAAGGGCGTTTATGAAAATAATTAAAAACGAAAAAAAAGCTAGAATACTAGAATATTAACCTAAATTAATGCCAAAAACATACTGTCATCAAGTTGAATAAAAAAATTGTTACTTACTCGTCATAAGATATGTAGTCTCCGACTGTTTTTGTGGCTGTTCCGGGGCTGCTTAGTATAGCTATATCTGTAAAAGAAAATACTGGAAATATAAGAACATCAAAATTTAGGTTGTTTATATTTTTATCCACTAATAACTTTTTCAAAAAATCTTACACAACTGTATAACCAAACCAAGAAAACATCTTTTGCAAAACATGATTCTTCAACTAAAATCTTCTTGAACTACATTTTTGTAGGCTGCTTTTTGTTGGCATTCATTCTACTCTTATTCGCTGGATTTCCTTGTGTTCCAATTTACGAAACAAATTTTCTTTTTGTATACATGAACTTTTTTTTAGGAAGTAAATAAGGCATGTTGAATCCTGATACGTGGTTTGCTTTTTTCCACATTATAAATAGTTCTTTTGTTAAGAGGATTTCTCTTCCTTCCTTGTGATACATTTTTTGTCTTTGAAACTGAAAAAGTACACTTTCATCTACTATTAATGACGTATTAACTTGTCTTGGATATATTTTTATGTTAATATTGTAATTCTAAGAGTAATTAAAAATCGTATAATATAGGAAAGAGCAAAATCTAGAAGCTTAAGTATTTCTTAACGTAGGAGACTAGAGGCTAGAGAATTTTATACTTAAAACATTGCAGTGACGTCATGTAATTGTCTTAAAAGTACTTTATATTTCAGAATGTATTGAAAATAGTCCAATATTATTTAGAGAAGGCCACTATTAAATATTATATTGGACTGCAAGTGACAGCCAGAGAACAAAAAACAAACACAAATTGTTTAATATTACATATTTAATTTGTTAAATTTACAATAATTGAAATGCTTTAGAGAAAAAAACGTAATCCCCAGCCGTGTTTATTTCCTTATTTGATCCAAAAGAAAAAAAATGAACTCTCGTTGCACTTCACTTTCTTTGGCTCCGATGTGGACACTGTAGACGATTTCTGAATGATATCACTTACACCCTGTAATTGCTCCTTAGATGTTCGCTTGTATGCACGTATTGCCGATGGCCTGTGCCTAGTTTTTCCGCTATAAGTTGTTTGTCAACACCAGCAGCATAAAGGCGTGTGGTAGCAGTAGCCCGAAAAGAGTGGTTAGTAAAAATATCCATCAAAGCCTGCTTCCTTACACATTTTGGCCACAGTCTGTTGTAAGTTGTATACGCCTGCAGGGATACTGTCATACCATATATTTTCCCTAGGTGTGGATTTTGGTCTAATATAAAGTGCATTAGATTTTCCATTTTGGGGCTTCAAAAGAATTCAAGAAACATATACAAAAGGCAAAAAAATCAAATAAAGCAAAGATTTCGCAAAAAAAATATTCAATAGAATATGCTAAAAGATTTATTATTTTACTTACTGGAAACTCGTGTACTTTTCATAAATTTTTACTTCAAATCACTCGGGCTGGGCATGATTTTCGTATGCTCTTGTGACTTTGGCTTCCTCTTTTCCGATGTTTAATCCCTAGATCATGAGTTGCACTTCGAAACCTCTTCCATGTACTCTGAGTATCTAACATTATTTGCAGATGTTTTGATGGTGTGTTGAGAATTTTCACCAACTCTCAAACTCCTGTGTTCTTGAGCAGCATGAAGTGCAAAATTAAGTCCAACACCGTATAATAATGTATCCAGAAGACGCTTGGGTGAGTCCGTTCCTAAGTTGCCCTTTTGCCACATATTTTCTTGTTCTATATTGTGATAATGTCTGCTTTCCGTTTTTAAGTCCAACACCTTGTTTAGATAGGTTTTTCATTTTAGCATCTAAAACTCCGTATCATCCAGAAAACTGACGAATCTTTCATTTGATCTCAAAGGTGCTGTATCGATATAATTATTTCGTAAATTATGTTCGAATAGTATTATTTTCCAGCCTTGTTTCTAACTTCAAGTATGGAAAACTTCAGAGCTGAATTTAAACTCTCATTAGACATAGTGAGTAGTTTGCCTTCTAAACTCCTAGCATTTTTCCAAGAATCAAACACACTTACTGCTCAACACGTCTTGTTGATGGTATTTGTTGGCTTGGAATTGGAAGCAAAATCTTCTACGTCCCGTTCCTGTAAAGGCATTGGAAATCGCTCGGAACTGTTTGCGTTTTTGATTTCTATGGGCCTGAATTAAGAGGTCATTGCTGCATCAACATCTAATATATAAGAAGAACTGTCACTTTTCAAATCAAAGTAAATTTGGTTTGATCCTTGTTTCTTAGTCTAAATCTAGAATGTCCTTCAAAATAACGTCGGAATTTTCGTCGGTTGAATTCGCACTGGCATCGCGAAATTTATTTTGTGTGAAAGGGTACTCATTATGTGAATCTTTTTAACGCTTCAAGACACCCTGGACTAAATTCCTTACAAGGAGCATCTAACGTGTTTATTCTACTTTTTGGGCCTACTTGTCAGTACAATATTATCAGTGTCCCCATAAATGTACCTACAGCGTCAATACTTTGTTTCATTAAAAAGATTCTTTCCGAACACCCCTTATGTAGCCTCATTTATCCAAGAGAAAACCAGTTAAAATAAGAGTACGGTCTAAAAACTAGAGGCATTGTGAGCAATGAGCGCACTAAATGATACCCCATCCCCCGCCTCCCATATGAATATAATGGGAGTGTCCATGTTTTGCTGTAGGAAACCCAAAATATGTGTAGGATCAAAAAGTAAAATAGGAGGTGCACAATGCCTGAATGGCAATATGTAATTAAATATTCTATGAAAGTTTCATTAAATTCACTCAGTGGTATAAGAGGAGTTGCGGATAAGAGATGGGTACCTCAAAGCGTAAAAGACAGACGGACGGACTGACATACTGAATACTATATACCCTCCCGCTTTTCAAGCGGGAGGTATGATAATGGAAGTGCTCTAGTAGTTTTTCTGTGGAGAGAAAAACCTTTTAATACGAGTATCAAATTATAACAATAAGAAGTGATTTATGAACCGCTTTTTCTTCTGTGAATTGAAGCCGAGATTTTAGAATTGTGTATGCCGTTTAACTTATTAATTCTAGTAAATTAAATGCAAATTAGTAACTAGAGGTACTGTGGGCAACGAGCTCACTAAACGATACCCCCGCTTTCTATATGATTATAATGACAAAGTCCCCGTTCTGCTCTTGGAGACCCAAAATAAGTGTCGGATCAAAAAGTAAAATAGAAGATGCACAATGGCATTATGTAATAAACAATCTATGAAAGTATCATTAAATTTTTAGTGGTATAGGAGGAGCTGCGGATAAGAGATGGGTGTCCTTCAATATTACAGAAAACATGGCAGTGTTCATGTTTTGCTCTGGTAAACCCAAAATATGTTTCCGATCAAAAAGTGAAATAGGAGGTGCACAATGGAGATATATAACAAAGATTCTGTGAAAGTCTCATTAAATTTCATTCAGTGGTAAAGAGGAGTTGCGGATAAGAGATAGTACCCCAAAGCGTAACAGACGGACGGACGGACGTACAGTCCGCTAGACGGACGGACGGACATCCCGATTACTATATACCCTCCCGCATTTTAAGTGTGGGGTATAATGAGAATGAAAAGTCTTATAACTGACTTAAGGTAGGATTCTTCTCTGGTTTCTGACTAGATGGAATATTCAAAGTACATTTGTTGATATGTCTTATATATTTAGATGTAAGAGATTTAAAAGATCAGATTTTTCTTTCCTCGTCATAATTATACAACTTTAAATAGAAATGGTAAACTGCATTTGAAAACTAGCAGGGACTATATTTTTGGCGGAATGGTGGCGTATGAAAATATCTTCTTTGTCTGCCTCTCAAAATTATTATAGAACATTGAATTTAGTTATAATTTTTATGCAATCAAAAACAAGACAAAAGTTTCAAATGTAAGTTAAATTAATAATGAGGTACTAAAGTTTCAAAATATATCAAATAAATAAGATTTTTAACACATACTAGAACTATGTTGGCTTTTAAATGCTTCAAATCTAAGTACAGATTTGAACCAAAAATCCTTAAAAAGTGTTATTTCTCTCTTAGTAAACGATCAAAACTTGTACTTTTTGTATCATTTTGTACCTTTATGTGACAACTTTACTATATGTGAAAATTGGAAAAAGTAAAATATAGGAAGCATATAAAAATAACTAATAAATCCTAAAAATTTAAGAAAAGTAGAGGAAATTCGGATTAGCAAATATCCATTTTATTTAAATTATTCATGTCAATTTGGTTATATCATCTTATAGGCCCTATATGTTAGTATTTTTTAAACCAAAAGAAAAACATTCAATCTTTTGAATTACAAGTAGGGATCGCGTGATTGGAAACAGTATAATTTTTTATTCTTAATGTCCAGGAATAAGGTAATGACCTTGACCTGACCTTGCCTCTAATATTAAACGGTCAAATTTAATCTCACTGATGCCATCACTAAGTGATATTGACCTCTTGAGTTTGTGAAAATTTCTCATTAATTTTTAAATACAAGAAATGTGAGAATCCTACCTTAAAACATTGCTCTTTAAAGCATTTATTTAAACAGAGAAAAATGACACAAAACTCAATGTACAATTTATATTTATTTATTGTGGCGAGTATTGGCCGTGGCACAGTACAAAATTGTGGGACGCCATTTCAATTAGGCGAACCCACCAAATTCAAACATCAACAATGTGTGTTTCTTTTTTCTAACCGTCCCGGGTTAACCGCGGAGGGTCAGCACACATACAAACTGTTCAAATCAATCAATCAATCAATCATTCAATCAATCAATAAGTCATATCTCAAATTCCAAATATCAAGCATATCAACTTATTTTATCAAATCTTGTATATCATATATCATTAATATCTCAAACTTCATAGATCAAACATCTCAAACTTCAAATATCAACATTTTTCATATTTCAAACCTGTACGATGTAGTACAGTTCTAAAGTATATATTACTATCACCAAGAGTAAGCTTATTAGCTTAGTTTACACTAGCATTAGCATTTCAACAAGGTGACAGTTTATTACAAGTTTCACACAAAAATTCAGTTATCATTTGACTAGGTGTGCGCAGACGCTTCACACTAATGACTTCTCCTTGAAAAAGTGCCACGACAGTTTCTTTTAGTTTAAAATATCAACCCTATGACCAACTATATGCTACCGATTTGATTTATAAACGATAGAAAGTTTCACAATTTTGCAACACTATTCGGTACGGATAATGCAAAGAGAGACTTTAGCGCATGTTTAGCACAATCCTTGAGGCTGGCAATGGACTTGATGTGGGCATCATGTGGTATATTCTTCACTTTAACTTCTCCTT